CCACCACCCCTACCCTGTTCTCCCTTCACCAACCAGGCACCCCCAGTTCCCGCAAGGCCCTCCTGCCATGTCGGACCCAGACGGCCCCAGGGGCCCTGATGTACCCGCCATGTGGCCCCCCTGTTCCAGGGGCGCCTGAGCCCCTTCGAAGATCCACCACTGCCCCCCTGCCCACCTTGGCCTAGTCCTGAGCCCCAAGGACCATGAGTGGGGGCAAGAAGAAGAGTAGTTTCCAAATCACCAGCGTCACCACGGACTACGACGGCCCAGGGAGCCCAGGGGATCCAGATCCCCCTACCCCGCCGGCCCCCACCGGGCCCTCGCCCCGCCTGCCCAACGGGGAGCCCAACCCTGAGCCGGGGGGCAAGGGCACCCCCCGGAATGGCTCCCCGCCGCCTGGGGCCCCAGCCTCCCGTTTCCGGGTGGTGAAGCTGCCCCACGGCCTGGGAGAGCCTTATCGCCGAGGCCGTTGGACGTGTGTGGATGTTTACGAGAGAGACCTGGAGCCCCCTAGTTTTGGCAGGCTCCTGGAGGGAATTCGAGGGGCCTCGGGGGGTACCGGGGGCAGATCTTTGGATTCCAGGTTGGAGCTGGCCAGCTTGGGCCTGGGCGCCCCTACCCCACAGCCAAGCCTGTCTCAGGGCCCCACCTCCTGGCTCCGTCCGCCTCCCACCTCCCCTGGACCTCAGGCCCGTTCCTTCACTGGGGGGCTGGGCCAGCTGGCGGTGCCTGGCAAGGCCAAGGGGGAGACACCCCCCATGTCAGCCTCCCCACCGCAGCAGCACCCCCCAGAGCCTGGGACTGGGGATAGCATGGGCCTGCCCCGTGCCGCCACGCCCCTGCCCTCCCTGAGGGTGGAAATGGAGGCTGGGGGCTCAGCAGCCGTGACCCCTCCACTGTCCCGAACGAAGGATGGAGCCCTGCGGCTGAGGACGGAGTTGGTTGCTCCAGAGGAGATGGGGCAGGTAAGAGCTGGGTTCCAGAGTGGGGGAGACACCTGAGGGGTGGTGCGTCTCAGCCTTGGCCTAACCTCCAGCCTGGGCCTCCTTGCCTCCACCTCCATACCACTTTCTCCTCACTTCATCAGCACCTGTCTGTCAGATCAGATAGCCTCTCATTTTTCTTCCTGCCATCTCACTTGGAAGTCCATTCTTCCTCCTCTCACTGCCTTTGTTTTCTCTCTCAGGCTCCCTCTTCCCCACATTCTGCACCTTCTTTCTTTCTTTTTGGCCTGTCATTTGTTGCCTTTGGCCCAAGTCGCCATCTCCATATAGCCTAGTCCCATCTCTCCATCACAGGGATGTGGCCTCCCCATGCTGGCCTTCACCTTCTGTCTTGGTCTCACCCCTTCTGGCTTCAGGCGTTGAGGGTGGAGGCCTCAGGCAGGGCTGGGTGGTTGGGCCTCTGGGAGAGGAGCTGCCAAGGTTGGCAGGGCGGGTTAACAAGTAGGCATTCTGTTCTAAGTCTGTCCTTTGTAGCCCCATTCCGAAGGTGGGGGTCTTCTTTTTCCCACTACTCACCCATCCCAGCCCCGTCTTCAGCTTTGTCTTAAGCCAAATTTTTCCGAGGACCTGAGGAATTGGGTGGGGGCCCCGTTACAAGGATGGGGGCCTTGCTGGTATGTCCTTTCCACCCCCGGTTGTCTGTCTCAGTTCCCTGCATCTGGGCCTCTCCAGGATCGATAACTAGAGGTGGCCACCATGGAGTGGGAGAGGCGGGAAGCAGCTGAGAAAGAGTTAAATCCTTTGCTCTCTCTGCTTCCTGTCTCCAAAAGAGGAACAAGTCTGGGCTGGGGGGCAGGATGCCTGGGTCCCTGGGGTGGGGGGTGGGCAGCGAGGAATGTGGGGGTTGGATGTGTCTGTCCTGAAGGAGAAAATAACACCTTGAGCTGCAGGAGGAAAGTCAGGGAGTGTGAGGATGAGAGCTTTTCCCCTTCCTGGCCTTGGGCACAGACCACAGTATAAAAATAGCCTGAGACTGGGTGTCTGGGCCCTGTCAGGACCGGTCAGGACTGGCTCCCCCCACCCCTTCTGGCCGCAAGCTCACATCTCTCGTGCTCCCCTCACCCCTACTTTTCTTGAGTTTTTTTTTGAGCTCTTTCATTCAGTTCCTACCCCAGGGGAGAAGACGCTGTTTCCTTTACTGGTCCCTGTCCCCACACTCTTCCAAAGCAGGCCCCCTTTGCCCCAGCCTCTGTCTGTCCTTAACCCCTGCCTGAGCTTCCCTTGGGCCCGCTGACCCTGCCCCTCTCCCTTCAGTGCCCCCAGCCCCTTTGCTTCCCCTGCATCCTGATCCCTTCCTGTGTGCCTGCATCTGTGCTGCTGCTTCCCTGCCCAGAAGTCCGTCTCCCTTCCACACTCCCCCATGCCACCTGGGCCCCCTTCCTCTGCTCTGTCCCTTTAACCACCCTGGACTCAGTTCTTGGCTTTTCCGAGAAGCTGGGGCCTCCTGGGGCCTCACAGAGGCGTCTTGTTCCTGTGGCCCCCGCCCTTTTGCAGCCACCCCCAGCGCCTGTTGGACTGTGTGGGTCCACACCCAGGCTCCGCCTCCCCCCATCTCTGCAACCACTCCCCCCCACCCCCAAGGAGGGAGCAAGCGCAGGAGCAGAACTTCACCTGAGACCGAGAAGTTTGAGAGGAGAGGCTAGAATGGGAGGTGGGGGGGTGGGGGGCGTGGAGGACCAGTTTCTGAGGATTCATTCATTCTACAAATAGCTATTGAATAAACTAAGCTCTGCCCTCTGGAGCTTACCTTCTAGCAGCGGAGAGGCAAAAATACTTTAATTTCCTATAATATTAGGTGCTATAAAAAAATAGAACAGTTCGGGGGAATCCACTACTAGAATGATGGGGAAATGCCTCTCTGAGGAAGTGACATTTGACTTGCTTTAAGAAGCCAAGTGACAGAAGGCAGACACTCTCTGACTAGCCTCTGATTAGGGGTCCTGGTTCAGCTGGCAGAAGATGCTGGAGTGCAGACCAGAGCCCCTCTCTGATACCCCGTGAGCCACTGTTTTCCTTGCCTCTAGTACCTGCCCAGTGCCTTCCCCAGAGCTGGAGGAGAGAGGGGCCGTTGGGGGGGCAGGACTCCTGGGTCCTCGGAAGAGAGAGAGGGTGTGTGGGGAGAGAGGAGGAGGGAGGAAGACTACCAGGCAAGTTGTAAGGTGGCTGGTTTCTTTTTCTTGCTCGCCATAATGGTTCCTACCTCTCTGCCTCCAGGTGCCCCCACTCGACTCTCGCCCCAGCTCCCCAGCCCTCTACTTCTTTCCTGATGCCAGTCTGGTTCACAAGTCTTCAGACCCCTTTGGAGCAGCGGCAGCCCAGAGCCTCAGCTTGGCCCGCTCCATGTTGGCCATCAGTGGCCACCTGGACAGCGACGATGATAGGTAGGTGGGCTCCGGCTCCCCCGTGCCCCCAGCACCTGGGATAGCTGCATGCAACTGCCTGGTAGGTGTCCTTCCTCCAAGGTGAGCTGGGAGAGGACCTCTTAAACAGAGAAAACTGGCCTGGGCATAACCACTGGGCAAAGCTGATTTGGGACCCACTCCCTCTCTCTGGAAAGAGCTGGGTGGGACTCCCTGGCTTAGGATTGTCAAATCATAGACTTTTTTAGAGTTTGAAGGGAGTCATTGTTGTCAAATTCCAGAGCTTTTGCAGATTTAGCGATCATCTGGCCAACTCTAAGAATTTACTGGCAAATGTGCTGGGGTCGAGAATAGGGAGTCAGTCTCCTCCCTGTTCCCATCTCCCTCTCCCTAACGAGGGGAATGGGACTTGCCTTTAGCAGTAACATCCTTACAGTCCCTGTGGACTTACTTGAGGATCCTAAGACCTCTATTACCAAGAAAGCATGTCCCTGAGGTTCTGTTCTCTGCACCAGATACACCGCCGGGGCTGAGCGCCCCCGCGGCCAGGCCAAAGCCGTGGAGAGGATGGATGTGGGGTGCAGGAGATGCTGGGGTGGGCCCTTCAGGGAAGAAGGTCCCATTGAGTTTGGTGCATGGTGGGCAGAACTTCCTGTTTCGAGGGCCAGGTTTCAACATAGGAAAGTCAGCACGCTGAAAAGGGAGGAACGAAATCTCCACTCCGATAGCCAGGCTGCTCCCTTCTGGCGGTGGACTGATAACGAACCCACAAGGGTTGGGGAGTCGCCACTTTTATTTTGGAGGGAGGAGTGGGACTTCCTGTTTGAGGCCCTAGGGGAGGGACTTCCTGTTTGGAAGGAAATAAGGGGCGGGGCTTAGCCCTGAGTGAGTGGGTGCTGGGGGGACCCGTTCCAGAGGGGGTCGCTCTTTCCTGCCTCCCCTCACAAGGCACCGCTCCCCAGAATCGGACTGAGTCCCACCAAAGAAAAGGGCCTGAGGCCTTGGGGAGACCAGGGAGCTAGAGGGGAAAGACAAGGGGTGGCTGGGAGCCATGGGATGGAGGGTGAGGGGCGTGGTGGGGGGCGCGTGGGGAATGAGGGGCACAGCGGGGCTGGGAAGGGCCACTTCTGGGCTCCCAGCCCTCAGGAATGTGTGAAGTCTGAGGTCCACAGGGCCGCAAGAGTCACCTGCCCCATGGCTGCTATTCTCAGTGCTTCCTACCCTCTCCCCCTCCCACTTGGGAGGTTCCCTGGCACTAGGGCTCCCCGTCCCTCCCCTACCCCTGTTGATTTCAGAGTCCAGCCTCCTCCTCTCTCTGCCTTAGAGAGTTCTGCCTCCAGAAGCCTCCTCAACTCTATTCTTTTGGCTTTGTCCACTCCCTCCCTCCCTCTGTCCCACCCGCTCAGACACCCCAGTCTGACCGGTCCAGCTCCCAGCCTCCACTTTACCTAGCTCTGCTCCAAGCCTCTGGGGCTCAGGCCCAGCCCAGCCCCTTGTGCCCCACCCTGCTGGGCCAGCAAGTTTGGGTTGGGTCACCCCCTTGGCCCCCTGGAATGGGTGTGTAGCCCCCACCTCACCTCTCTGGTGTTCCCAGAGCTGGCAAGAGGACAGGGTCCCAGTGGCGCGAGACCTCCTTTTTGAGAGGGAAAGTGGGCTGGAGTGTCAGGTGCCTGGATCCCAGATGGTGAGTTGAGGATGCCTGACCACCCTAGAATCTGGGGATGGAAGGACAGAGGGTGCCTGGTGAATTTAAAGTCTTCACGTGCTCCTGGGTTGCAAGAACCTTCGTGCCCCCAACAGGGTCTGGCATTTGCGAGGTACTTAAATAAGTGGCTGGCTGAATGGGTGGATGGATGGATAGACGAGTGGATAGGTGGATGGTGTGGGCATGGCCAGCTTTGGGGATTCAGGCATTATACGGAATGAATTCCAGGACCTTGGGAAAGAAAAAGTACATTTATTTATCCAGTGCCTCCTTTGGGTCAGGTGCTGCCTCTTATCTCACATAATCCTAAAAGCAGCCCCATGATCCCCACTTTCCAGATGAAAAAACTGAGACTCAGAGGAGGAAGGTTTTAGAGACTTGCCTAAAGGTCATCCAGCTAGTAAGTGGCAAGACTGCGGTCGGAACCTGGGTCTGACTCCAAAGCCACGTTCTCTCCACTCTCCTCCTGGGATGCCTGTGTCCCAAGAGAAGAGGAGGAGGCAGCCATCTCTAGGATGCCCTTTCTCTCCAGGACAGAGGCAGGGACAGCTCTCCCAATCTGGGCAAGGAGCCATCCTCCCCTCTTCCCTGGCCTGGCCCCGCCCCAAAGGCACCACAGATCCGGGAGGGAGTGTAGACAGGGCAGCCGGATGCCACTTTGTTGGCCTCAGGCCCAGCCCCTGGGGGCTCCTCAAAACACAACAAGGGAGCAGTGCTGGTCCTTGTCCGCTGAATCAGAACCTCCCCACCTCTCCTAGATGGCCTGCTTCTTCATCTGATCCTCATTTTGAGGCTGTTTCATTTGACCTTCAAAAAAAGGAAGACCAGCCTCTACAGCTGTCCTTGCTCCAGGACCCAGAGTCCTGCAGGGCCAGTCCCCAGTTGTGCATATCGTGCACTGCACAACTCCAGGGGGCGCCACTCACATTTGAAGTCACTGTCGCCCCTTGAAGTCATGCCAGTTTTCTGGAAGATGGCAATAAGTGTCTTGAAGAAGGGGGCATTTTATTCTAATTCACACCAAGTCACCTTTTGGGCTTGTGTTGAGGGCTGATCCCTCCCAGCCAACCCCAAGCTTCCTCCTTCTGACCCAGGAATTCTAGCACAGAGCCCGCCACCCCTCACTCAGAGATTCTCAAAGGGACGGCTTGGGTTGCCAGAGTTCTGGTCTTTTGAAGTGTTAATGTTAGAATGTGACAGTGGAAAGTGCTGTCAAAAACTCTCCAGCGCTAAACAAACAGGAGATAGTCATCTGTCAGCCAACAAATGTTTATTGTTGTATTATTCCTTTATTTCTGGCAAGAACGGAACAACTTACTTGGCATCTTTACCGTCTTTACTTGGAGTGTCCGCCAAGCCAGGCCAGTGTTCCTATTCCTGTGAATCTGCCCGTCTTTGGTCTTTGTGTGTCTGTGTGTACTGGGGTGTGTGTGTGGGGGGGCGGAGGGCAAGGTCTCCTACTCTGCCGTCTTGCTGATGTCACTCCTATAATAGGGTCTCCACTGGCGATTTCACGCATCGCCTCCTCACCCTTAAGAAGAGGAAGGGTGATGGACAAACATGAAGGAACCCCCACCGACAGCACCTCCGAGTG